CTCATGAGAATGAGCCACCCCATAAAATAAAGAAAAGAAAAGGTGAGGTATATGTGAGATGGCTTGATAAGTGGCCATGGAAACCAAATATTATTAAAAGTTCGATCGAGGAGTCATTCTCGAGAGAACCACCATGAGTGCTTTCACTTCTGAGTCGTCAAGCTATCAACTTTAAACAAAACGCTACGTGGGAGGCAACCCACGGGTTTTTAATTTAATGTTTTGATTTTACTGTGTGAGTTTGCAAAAAATAAAGAGAGGGATCATTTTTCACATCTCAACAACTTCTATGCAAAAAATCTCTAGATTACAATCTTGGAAATGAGCCTGGTGCCCACAGACACTCTTACGAATGTCGCTGCTTATGGTGAAACCAATGATAGGAAAGAGAATGTCTATACAGTTCGTAACTCACCTCCTCCCCGTTCTTCTCATGGTAAGGTTCCACCGGCGCACACCGCACCGTATCTTTCTAACACTTTTGCAGGTATTTCTTTCGGAAGCGATTATCATGATAAGCTACTTCAAAAAAGAGAAATTTCAACAAATAAAGGCATCTCAAGATTCCCGCTGCTGAAGTGGCCAGCAAAGACATGAACAACAAGAGAAGGATCAGAGAGGATTTGGCACGTAGTAGCATTCACACAGGTTCTATCTTTCCTTTTCCACCTTTTATCAAAACATTGAGAATAATGTTTGGTTTAAGTGTGGGGGAGGAACTTTATCGCTTTCCATTTATCACTTTTTAGTTGTATTTATATGTTTTATAGTTTTATTTTCATGCTTTTAGTATTTCTATTTTTAATTTTTTTTAATAATAGCATGTCTTATCGGGTCATTTATGTGTGTGCAATCAGCTGCTGATAATTCCCTCTTAATTTGACCCCGTCAGAAAAAAATTGTTTGATAAATGCCACAATACTTTAAGAGTATATAGGTAGTCTTGCACTTTAGGATTTGTCAAAGATACTTGAGAAATATTAGATAAAATCGGTACCGTCTTTACATCTTAAACCCCAAAAATATGCGAAAAAAACCCAATTTGAATATCTATTATGCCAATACCTTGAGTTTGAGTTTTAAAGTAACCCCATATAGTTTATATTAGCACTCAGCACTATCATAAGCGCACTCTACGTAGGGGAGTCGATGAACATAAGTGAATGATCTCGTTATTAATGAATAAATGATTTAACTAAAAAATAATAGCCTTCTAAGTTAGGTGACCCTCACCCGATCATTTAGCCTAACGATTGTTATGCCTATATGGACATAATAATAAGCACCCATTGTTGGTTGGTCTAGAGGTCATTGGTGATGGATTTGGTAGGGCAGACTACGGTTTGATCCCCCGTGATTAGCAATTGGGAAAAATGGGGTTGCACCGCTTAGTACCAGGACCCCATGCTTTAGAAAGATCATAGTCACTAATCGATCTCCTTACTATGAGCGCATACAGATAACGGACTTAATGTGATTGCGCTAGAATGAAAGTGGGTGAAATGAGATGAAAAACACAGGCCGAGTTATAATAGCATGATTCAGATTGGTTTGCATAGGATGGGAGTTTTTGGCTTATGTCATTACGGTATCCTTGATATTGACAATATCCTAGCAACCACGTATGATTAGAGTTTTTTTTGTATGTTTCAAACTCGCGTCTTAATCGTTATTGCATTGATTGATTGCTTGAGGATAAGCAATGGTTTAAGTGTGGGGGAGTTTGATAGCATGAAAATGTATCATTTTTTTAGACTTGTTTCACATGTCATTTGTTGTCATTCTGTTATGTTTTATTAATTTTATGTCTTCTTTTATTTATATTTTAAATACATATCAGTTATGGAGCATTTAAGTGAAGAAACCGGAAAAGGAAACGAAAGAGCAAGAAATGGACCATTATGCTGATATGGCGTTCTCCATAGTCAGAGACATTCGCTATAGGCAGATGGTGTTCGCCATAGGCAGACGTCATTCTCCATCCCATAAAAGTGCCATGTCATTTAATGAAGGAGGCAATGGAATTTGGAATTTCCCTAACGACGTTCACCATTGCTTCACATACATCATTTTTCGCACCAGAAGCAATTTTCAAGCATTTTTTCAATTATGAATTTTCCCTCCACTGCTGAAACTGGTCTAGAATAGTTGTTGGGACATTTCTCTCTCTATATATAGGACACTTGGGTCAGTTTCAGACATCCAAGTTATCGCGCGGAAGCGCTGTTCATAATTTTAGGCAGAAATCACGTAACTTTCTTGGATAAATATAGATGCCTTTAGCATTTAGGCATATAATCTTGTAACTTGCTTGGATAAATCTAGCTGCCATAATCAAAATAAATTCCAGTTTATTTACTTCTAGCATTTACAGGTTCTTTTTTATTGCTTTATTATTATTACTGCTATTCCATTTTATACTTGTCAAGCATGATGTCTTTAATTATGTTTATCATATTTATTTTGTTTGAAATTAATTCCATATCTGGTTAAATAGTTTTGAATCTGATATGTGAGGATCGTCGTTTCTGACGAGACTCACTAATAAAATTGGCGTAAGTTTTGCATAAGTTATGTTTTGCATTTTGTTTCCAAATTTTATTTAAATAGCTTTGTCACGAGAGTGATAGGTTACTTAACATTGTTTTGAAATGAGAGTGAAGCACAAACTAAGGTTTAATCCGATAGCGCTAGAGTTTGAGGAAGGAGTCAGATAGTGGGAACAGGGCATCGATCCTAAAATTAGCGAGAGCACTTTAGGCATCATTTAGAATCTTATCGGTTTTCAAAATATACTTTCTGATTAAAACGGGCGAGCGAGAGCAAAATCCTGTGGTTAGGAGTGTGACTTTATTCAATAGCACGAAAGTGTGAGATAGAGTCTTTAAACTGTTATTTTCTATTGAATACAATTTAACTGTAAATTAACACCGATGAGTTATAGAGTCCCTGAGGCACACAAAGTTCACATTTCGGCCTCTATTTTCATATATATTTCCTTAATCATATTTTAGTCTTTGTTTTAGTTTTAGTTTTCCCGTAATCAATTATTTATTAGCTTTAGCTTTACAAAGCGACGATAGATTACAGTAGATTGACATTGGTCTCTGTGGGTTCGACAATCTTTTATATTACTTTAATATTTTTGTGCACTTGCGAGTGCATCAATTAGAATTTCTCTAAGATACTTAGATATAATCTAAAATACTAAGAGGTACACTAAAATAATCTAAATTAATATATAGGTTATTATAAGATATTTATAGTATTTTTTATTCTAACAGTTAATGGATTATGTTTTGGCTCATTATGGTTCTGTTGGATTTCATAAGTTATAAATATGTATTTCTTTCATTATTGTCTTAGACACCTTTAGAATATAGTCGGATTGACATGGGAAAGAGGTGGAAATCATATGGAAAACTTAGACAGGCTAGGGTAAATATTCCAATGATTGTGTTATTGGATTTGAGAAATCTCTGAATGTATCTAAGAGAACTAGGAAACACTTCTAAACACCTTGTGATTGTGTGATTCATATATTGATTGTGAGATTGTGTTATTCACAATGTCAAATAATGGCGTCAAGTAACGCGATATTTTCGCAACAAAATACTACTATGTTATTTTTTTCTCCCCACGCCTTTACTTGGTTCACCAACTGAGTAATTCTCGTCGTAAAATCGTTGATGGTCTCCTTCTCCTCCATTTAAATCAACTCAAGTTGTCTTTTGTGAGTTTGTAACATCATAACTTTTTCCTTGCCAGCTCATGCATACATCTTCTCCAAGAATTCTACGCTTGCTTCGATGAATCGCAATCACCAACTTTCGCGAAATTTTCCTCATCAACACATTGATGGATAAAAAACCTTGTAATCTTTCGCCTTCTCCTCTTTATGCTTAGGCCGTTGCATCTGTTGCACCTTCTACAAGTGTAGTTGCCTCATTATTAATCACTTCAAGAATATTTTGATAGCCAAACAACACCTTATTTTGTTTGCATCACTCGTCCTAATTTTTTTTGCATTAAGGACATGTAAATTTGCAGAGATTCTTTTATTGGAGACAAAAGTCATTTTCACACACTAGATATTTCATGGATCGAATCAGACTCTTGATTTCAAATGTTAGAACTTGAAACTACAAGGATGGTGAATAATTGAGAGAGAGAGAGAGAGAGTAAATATGAAGGATAAAAATATGAGCATTTATTCAATAATGATGTATATATATATATATATATATATATATATATATATATATATATATATATATATATATATATATATATATATATATATATATATATATATATATATATATATATATATATATATATATATCAATATATATCAACATGTTATATTTATTATTTTTTGTGTAAATTCTGAGACAGTAACTAAATGCAATCGGTTAAGAATTTGTCTCAGAATTTACACAAAAAATAATAAATATAACATGTTGACATAATATGTCAACCTATTACATTATGATTTTGTTTGAAAACTAAACACTGCATAATGAGATATAACATGTTGACATAAAACTGCAATATGCAGCACATACTTGAATTATATTATTTTTTCAAGGGTAGATAAATTTAATATTTATAATTGTTACTAAAAGAGTAGCATATACATGACAATAGTTCAAATACACATGTCAATTAATTTCTTCATAAGGGACTAAGCTTCTATTGATAAACATCCTCACATTATGGGGATGGTTTGTTTACTCTTCAAGGAAAAAATTAAACACACTAAGAAAGATCATCCGCACATTGGCAAAGATCATTTTAAGCTTGACAAATAGGGGCCTTTCCTATGACTCTAGGTTTGACATTAGAACATTTAGCTTTTGCTGGTGCTCCATTGAATGTGAGATCAATATTATTCAGCTCCACGCCATCGCATGGTACATCTCTGCTGCATACAAGAATCACTCCTTCTGCTGTTTTTGAAGTTCCATGAATATTCTTGAATGAAACTTTGCTTATCTTTATTTTCGATGGAGTCTAAATCATTGAAAACCATGCGCGAAGTGAATAAATAGTTAGTCCTTTTAACTTAATTTTAATTTAATATGAATGATCAACGTGAAAACAGTTTTTCTTGTGATTACCTGTTTGGAGCACTGGTTCCATGGACAATACTCTTGATCAATGATGATAGGGTTCAAGACATTAATCATGGTAATATCTTCAAAATTCATATCAGTAATAGTAATTTTTCCTGGAGCAGATGGCCAAGTCTTGATCCTTACACCATTATCAGTTTCTTTCAGAGTACAATTCTTAACTAAAAGACCTGCTACATGATCTTCAGTCGTATACTTTCCAAGGCTTCCAACACTAATACCATGTCCAGGTCCACAATTCACATTTTGGACCGTTACTTTTCTGCTACCATCACCCAACGAGACACAATCATCTCCGGTACCAATGTTGCTATTCAAAATTTTAATATCAGTTGATCTTCCGATGTGGATTCCATCCGTGTTAGGGCTCATAGCAGGGGCAGTAATTGTCACACCATCAAATGTGATATTGTTGCACCCTAAAACATTAATATGGAAAAATTTGCTGTCCTTAGAAGTAATATCGCGGATGATCGAGTTGTTGAGAAAATTAAAACCGAAATTCTGTTGAAATTATAAACGTTTGTTAAGTGAAGGTGCAGGTACAAATATTTGTTTATGAAATGATGATGAATTTACCATGGAGATTCTGGTGGAAGTACTTGAACCTTTCTTCCAAGCAGCTCCACCTTGTTTCCAAACAGCTGCACCTTGACCATCAAAAACTCCTTTTCCTGATAATGTTAAAGAGTTTATATATTGAAACCTGATCCATTGATCAGACCCTTTTTGGACTAGATTTATGTCGGAAGGTGCTTGAATTGTGCCATCAAGTTGAACTCCAATTGGAGCCTTACAAGGACCTTTAACATCTATTCCAGTCAGCTTGTATGTACCGGCTGGAATCAAAATTTTGGTTGGAGTTGGAGATGCACATGCTTGAGTCCAAGCTTCTATGAAAGCCTTATGAAAAAGAAAACAAAAACACAATCAATTAAATATAATAATAATCATACAAATGCTTCAAGTTTTATGTAAAAGATAGAATAATTACTACCTGGGTAATATCTGAATTTGGTCTTCCGCCAAATTTCGATATTGGAAGAACTCCAGGTTGAGCTGCACCGAACTCAGCTAAAAATAGGAATGAAACTATTATGGCGATCCTGAAGTTTTTCATATCTTCTTTTGCTACTGTTATTATATACTTTTATTTCCCTTGAACGATTGTGTTGTTTCAATGTAAGATACAACAATATTTATACTTAAATGGCGAAGCTTTCTGACCATGAACAAGGCAACAAAATGTTAACTAAATATGTTTTTTTTTTTTACCTTTAATTGTTTGGTTGATTTTTATGTCTATTAATACCAATCAATTTTAATCTCTCATGGCTATCATGGTACTGGCTATCATGGTACGAACTAACATGTTGTTATAACTAGTAAATTTGTATTAATAGTATTCAATATTATCTCATTATATGTGTTATTATAACTAGTAATCTTAATAATAATAGGGAATATATGTTATTATAATTGGTAATCTTCATAACACTAGGGAGCTTGTTTGGAAAAGAGAGAGGATTATATCGAGATTTTAGCAGTAATTACTTATATTAAAAGTTGGTTTTGATAAAATATGATTACTAATATTATATTATAATTTTTTTTAGTGAAATATAATAGAGACAATAATATGTATTAATCAAATAGACAAATATACATTTCATTTGAAAAGAAAACACATGTGTGTAAATTGAGAGTGATATTCGTAATTTAGGTTTGCAAATATAAAGTGATTTTTATTTGTTTTGTTTTGAGTCTCACGTTTTTTTTTTGCACTTATATTTTATTTAGATATTTTACTTTAATTTGTTAAATATATGTATTTATTTTTAGTATTAAATAAAATTAAAAATTTATTTATAATTATTATCAAATACATTTTTTAATCTTTTTTAAAATCTTTGTTCGTTTTGTCAAATTTTATAAGATTGTTGCATACTATATTAGTTTTTAAGATTAATTTAAAGTGACTTATATTTGAAAATTTTGTAAGAATTACTTTAAGATTAAAAACATTTATTTCAAGTCTTATTTTTAGTGTTATAATTTTAGAAAAACAAAAATATTTTATTGTGTTTGAATTTTGACATCTCTTTTATTTTTGAAATTTGAGAAATATTCTTAATATAAGGAAATATACATAGTTGAAATAATGATTGACTTGTTAGACCATTTTTTTCAAAATAAGATAAAAGTATTATATTGTGTTTGAATTCTCTTATCTCCTTTGTGTATTATTTTGTTATTTATCATTAGTTTATTATTTGATATTATATAAAAAAAATATAGTAGTAAATTATATAGACATCGTAAAAAATTGTTATATACTCTATTATATTTTAAATAAGTTTAAAGTTATTTATACTTTAAAATTATGTAAGAAGTACTCTAAGATTAAAAATATTTATTTCAAGTGTCGCTTTTATTACTATAATTTAAGCAAAACAAAAAATATTTTATTGTATTTGAATTTCCACATCTTTTTTATATTTCAAATATGAGAGAATATTTTTAGTTTTAGGGAATATATATATAGTTGGATTAATGATTGGTTTGTTAGATCGATTTATTCAAAACAAAATAGTATTTCGTCTTTGCGAGGGTTCGACTTTGTGACCTCAAATTTGTAGAAGTATATGAAGAAAATGAGTTTTGTGATGTGCTACATAGGACTAAAGAATCCTGTGACAAATTTAGAGTTATAATTGATGATGTGTTAGAGTTATAATTGATGACGTGTTGTTATAATATTTGATGCATTAGATTTAGTATGTTATATAGATTATGTCTCATAGGTTAAAAGTAAGACAATTGGTTGCTTCTACGACTTCTAAGTGAAAGTTATATTTCAATGAAAATCATGCTAGTGTTTTTTCGATCAACTGAATTTCAAGTCCAATCATTGAAATTCATTGTTAGTGTAATCAACTAACCTATAATACTTATAAACTTAAGCCAAAGTCTATTGTACCCTAAACATATAGAAGAATTATTTTTATATCATTTAAATGAATAATAGTTGGATTCACCATGTTCTAATGATGAGTTCAATAGCATATAGAATGTTAAGTCTTGTGCATGCAATGTCTCAACTAAACGGTTGAAATTTATATAACTCACCTTTTCTTCTTTATAACATTTTGTTGGAATACAAGATTGAAGATGAAGATGGAAGAAAAGAGAGAAAGAGAAGAGAGAAAATGATTACAATAAAATTTTAGAGAGAGAAAATCTATTATGAAAAACTCTTGTAAATTCACATTATGAAAAAATAGTTACAAAGTTGTTTAAATACACAACGAAATAAAAAGCTACGTAGGCAAAGCTAAAAACTAACAAAACAAATCAAACCCAGAAACTATGCACAACTTCTGAAATAACAACATCATAAGCTTATGTTTCTGACTAACAAGCTAATTTTGAATATGATTTACTTATAACATCATCAATTAATTCATATTCAACTAACTAAACTCTGCAACACCAATTTCATCCCTCAAATAGACAAAGTGTTCATTCTTGACAGCGTTCGTTAGAACATCTGCAAGTTGCTGTAGGATACTTGTTTCCAGTGATTTCTGGTAAACAACCGCTAGTCTTCCAAACTATCGAATAATCTTTGTTAACGCTACTCAATCTCTTTGGTAACTCACAGGATCGACTAGATTGATCCTAGGACTCCTTGGATATTAAGGTTACTCTCACAATCGAACAATTATTCATGGGTGCTATTGTACAAATGTTTGGTTTATTTCGATCCCTCTCTCTAAGAGTTTAAAAATGTGGTCAAAATGTATGTGAAAACTAAGTTATACGAATAATTGCTAATTGTAATGCTGATTGAAAAGACATATAAAACTGTATGGAAAATGAAGTAACTGGTTTCGACCTATAAAACATTTAACACAAAAGGTTTCTGGAATGTGGAAGTTTAAAATGTGAAGAAAGCGTTTAATGCAAGAAATCTAGAAATAACTTTAAGTGAAAATACATGTTTGAAGAATAATACTTGAAAGTAAAGGTATTGAGAGCGTAAAGGTTCTCTGAAATATAGAGTGCTCGAAATATAAAGGAAGCAGTAAAATGTAAAGCTTTGAAAAAAAGACTTTGAAATGAAAAGACAGTAGATAAAGAAACTTGCAAATGTTATTCGACAGAAAGAAAAAGAAGGAAAGTGCTGGAAATAGTAAAAAGGCTTTTATTAAATTAGAAATACATGGTGCTATCATACATACATTTCTCTTGCATTCGTTTCCCTTGCCATGTGGTAGTTTGAATGTTATTGAGTATTTTGTATAACAGATATGACACACTGAAATCCTAACACTAAGACTTCCATTTATACTAATTCGACCCTAACGGTCTCGCTACAAGATCATGCCACGTTTCGAACATGCAAGACAATGCTTCTTTCATCTTTCCACGTGTCCCCAAATGCTCCAACACATAACTTTCAAACTTTGAAAGTCCCGCTTTCATTTAAATTTTAAATGCTTTGGTGTTTCTCTGTTTCGAACGCTCTTCTCAGACCTAGCTTCGCTGCTGTTTCGAGACCCCTTTGAATACGCTCCCATAATCACCGTTCGAAGCTTCAAGCTTTGACACACTCATTCGAAACACTGCTTCTGCAATTTCGAAGCGTGGTGTTTTAATTCCATTTCGATCAGAACTTCTAGCTCTTTTTGAATTCTAAATAACACTATCAAAATCTTCAGCCAACAAATTGCCCCTTTAAAATATGTATTTCGATCTCTCTGAGAAATACCTATTTTAAACATTTATACAAGATTTTGATAGGATTTTCGAATCATTATAGCATTTAATGCGTTTGACCCTAGTCACATCAATCATAGCATCCTTTGGGTACCTTAACCGCCCAGAGTCACTTCACAGCATGGTGCAGTTATAAGTAATGATTGTTTTTAAAATCACGCCTATTACCTATATCAACTTCTCGCCACCTCTTCATCACACCAATCCATGATCTCCACGTATCATACTTTCACTTGGTGGATGCTTAATCTTCTTATTATAAAACGTCAATTTAACCTTCCTTTTTCCTTCTTTACACTCTAAATCTTTCAAACTCTGGAATTTTACTCTTCTTCTCTCATAAACAATCTAAGCTCTCAAACAACAAAAATGTCTTCTTCCACATCATCCCAACTCAAGAAAGTCTCCAAGAAGAAAGGAAAAACTACAGGAGCAACTATGGAGAGTAAAATCGTCACCATTCAAGGCCAATCTGCTCTTGCTCCTCAAATGATTTCCAAAGAAAAAGAAATGCTGTACGCATCACAGGTACTCATCCCTACCCATGTTGCTGGTAAGAGGTTAGCCTTAAATGGCCCTCTTACAGTTTTTGAAATACTAAAGGACACCAGGACCATTTTTCCCGTGTGTTATAACTTCAAACCTTTATTCAACAAAATGGATGCCCCTAGGGCAGTAGAATCTCTTAATCCGAATACCACAGAAACCTCAACTGTTTATCCTAAGGACCCATTTATCTTGGATTATGTAAAAAGCAATTTTAAACCATTCCGATCTTGCCCTACTGCTGATGTTGCTTATCAAAACTGGTTCACGAAAGTAGAAGCCAAAAAATCCCAGCAATGGGAAGAACTAGGCATTTATAACCTCATTAAGCTATCGAAACCTGGATTCACCTATAGTCATCCTCTGCTATTTGCGTCCCTCTATTTCTGGGATAGTACCTACAACACTTTCCATCTTCCAGGTGGAATGATCACCCCAACCTTCTTCGATATAGCAGCCATTACTGGGCTGTCGCCAGTGGGGGAAACTTATGTTCCTGACAATGAAGAGCACTCAAGCATAATTGACTTCGAAGTCAAGTTAGCCAGCTTCTCCAAATTTATCGGCCATTATCATGCTGAAGGGGATAATGTGTCTGACACAGAGCACATTGCTTTCTTAACCCTGTGGCTGTCTAGGTATGTTTTCTGCAGTAGATCCCTGCAGGTAGCTAGTAGGTTCATTCCTTTAGCTAGGGATTTACATGAAAATCGCAAAGTGTGCCTAAGTGAATTACTCTTAGTTGACCTCTATGAGAGCCTGAGGTCAGCTGTTTCGAGCCTCAAATCCCAC